CACTCCACACTTCACAGTCCACACTTCACACTTCTCACTTCACACTTCTCACTTCTCACTGCTTCTTCACACTCCAAACTTCACACTTCTCACTTCACACTCCACACTTCACAGTCCACACTTCACACTTCTCACTTCTCACTGCTTCCTTCCCACTCCAAACTTCACACTTCACAGTCCACACTTACCACTTCTCACTGCTTCCTTCACACTCCAAACTTCACACTTCTCACTTCGCACTTCACACTCCACACTTCACAGTCCACACTTCACACTTCTCACTTCTCACTGCTGCCTTCACACTCCAAACCTCACACTTCACACTTCACACTCACTCTTCGCACTCCACACTTCACACTGCACTCTTTGCACTCCAAACTTCACACTTCCCACTGCTTCCTTCACACTGTACACTTCACACTGCACTCTTCACACTCCACACTTCACACTGCACTCTTTGCACTCCAAACTTCACACTCCACACTTCACAGTCCACACTTCACACTTCTCACTTCTCACTGCTTCCTTCACACTCCAAACTTCACACTTCACACTTCACACTGCACTCTTCACGCCCCACATTTCACACTACACTCTTCACACTCCACAGTTCATCTCATCTGAGCTCTTCTCACCTTATCCCAGCTCATCTCTTCTCATTTCGTCCCTTCTCATATGTCATCTATTAAGCTTTCATTAATCAATTCCCAGCACTACTACTAATCACTGTCGAACCCTTGATGCACCTACTCCAATACGATTTACGAAGTCCAGTTGCAAAAGACAATAGTATTGCGCATGCAGCCGCGGCACCAAGAAACCTTGACGCAGCCATTACAATGCGATCTGCAGAGACTGAGTTGCAAAACACAATAGAACTACGCACAACGGCGTCGGAAATTGTAGCTCCAAAACCGGATCTCGACGCCAGAGCGAAAAAAAGACGATTTTGAAGCACTTTTTAAAAGGATTTTTAAAAGGAAAATTGCTAGCGCCAAAATGGAGGAAATCTGCTGACAAATCACTGTCGCAGCCTTCATGCAGCCACTCCAATACGATTTACGAAGTCCAGCTGCAAAAGACAATAGTATTGCGCATGCAGCCGTGGCAAGAAGCAACCTTGACGCAGCCATTACAATGCGATCTGCAGAGACTGAGTTGCAAAACACAATAGAACTACGCCCAACGGCGTCGGAAATTGTAGCTCCAAAACCGGATCTCGACGCCAGAGCGAAAAAAAGACGAGTTTGAAGCACTTTTTAAAAGGATTTTTAGAAGGAAAATCACTAGCGCCAAAATGGAGAAAATCTGCTGACAAATCAATGTCGCAGCCTTCATGCAGCCACTCCAATACGATTTACGAGATCCAGCTGCAAAAGACAATAGTATTACGAATGCAGCCACAGCACGAAGCAACTTTGACGCAGCCATTGCAATAGGATCTGCAGAGACTGAGTTGCAAAACACAATAGAACTACGCGCAACGGCGTCGGAAATTGTAGCTCCAAAACCGGATCTCGACGCCAGAGCGAAAAAAAGACGATTTTGAAGCACTTTTTAAAAGAATTTTTAGAAGGAAATTCACTAGCGCCAAAATGAAGAAAATCTGCCAACAAATCACTGCGGCAGCCTTCATGCAGCCACTCCAATACGATTTACGAAGTCCAGCTGCAAAAGACAATAGTATTACCAATGCAGCCACAGCACGAAGCAACCTTGACGCAACCATTTACAGGGAGGGAACGATCCTAGACTTGCAAATCACAATGGAATTCCATCGGCAACTCATCCACCAGCACCACTTGCAATCCCATTTACAGTGAGGGAACGATCCTAGAGTTGCAAATCACAATGGAATTCCATCAGAAACTCATCCACCAGCACCACTTGCAATCCCATTTACATTGCGGGAACGATCCTACAGTTGCAAATCACAATGGAATTCTGTCGACCGCACATGCACGAAAAACAGTTGACACCCCATTTACAATGCGGAACCGATCCCGATCCGACATGATCCGATCCGACCATGATCCGACCACACACGAGACCGTCTCGCACCCGTCGCACCGCAGAGGTAGATCATCGACGTTCGGGGACGGACTTTGTATGGAAAAACACAGGGTTTCGTGCATCTGCTATCTCTCAAAAACGCATTTCGTGCGAGACTTCCTTCAAAACTCCATCGGCAACTCATCCACCAGCACCACTTGCAATCCCATTTACAGTGAGGGAACGATCCTAGAGTTGCAAATCACAATGCAATTCCATCAGCAACTCATCCACCAGCACCACTTGCATCCCATTTACAATTGCGGGAACGATCCTACAGTTGCAAAGCACAATGGAATTCATCGGCAACTCCTCCACCAGCACCACTTGCAATGCCATTTGCATTGCGAGAACGATCCTACAGTTGCAAATCACAATGGAATTCCATCTGCAACTCATCCACCAGCACCACTTGCAATCCCATTTACAGTGAGGGAACGATCCTAGAGTTGCAAATCACAATGGAATTCCATCTGCAACTCATCCACCAGCGCCACTTGCAATCCCGTTTACATTGCGGGAACGATCCTACAGTTGCAAATCACAATGGAATTCTGTCGACCACACATGCACGAAAAACAGTTGACACCCCATTTACAATGCGGAACCGATCCGAGCATGATCCGAGCATGATCCGAGGATGATCCGAGGATGATCCGAGGATGATCCGACCACACACGAGACCGTCTCGCACCCGTCGCACAGCAGAGGTAGATCATCGAGGTTCGTGGACACACTTTGTATGGAAAAACATAGGCTTTCGTGCATCTGCTATCTCTCAAAAACGCATTTCGTGCGAGACTTCCTTCAAAACTCCATCGGCAACTCCTCCACCAGCACCACTTGCAATGCCATTCTAACTCTTTCTTTGACTAACTCTTTCCCTGACATTCTAAAAGTTACAATTAACTCTGTCCCTAACTAACTCTTTCCCTCACTAACTCTTCATTTGACTAGCTCTTTCCCTGACAGTCTAAAAGTTACAATACTCTTTCCCTAACTAACTCTTTCCCTCACTAACTCTTTCTTTGACTAACTCTTTCCCTGATGAACTCTTTCTCTCACTAACTCCTTCTTTGACTAACTCTTTCCCTGATGAACTCTTTCTCTAACTAACTCTTTCTCTCACTAACTTTTTCTCTCACTAACTCTTTCTTTGACTAACTCTTTCCCTGATGAACTCTTTCTCTAACTAACTCTTTCTCTCACTAACTCTTTCTTTGACTAACTCTTTCTTTGACTAACTCTTTCCCTGATGAACTCTTTCTCTCACTAACTCTTTCTTGACTAACTCTTTCCCTGATGAACTCTTTCTCTAACTAACTCTTTCTCTCACTAACTCTTTCTCTCACTAACTCTTTCTTTGACTAACTCTTTCCCTGATGAACTCTTTCTCTCACTAACTCTTTCTTTGACTAACTCTTTCCCTGACATTCTAAAAGTTACAATTAACTCTGTCCCTAACTAACTCTTTCCTCACTAACTCTTTCTTTGACTAACTCTTTCCCTGATGAACTCTTTCTCTCACTAACTCTTTCTTTGACTAACTCTTTCCCTGATGAACTCTTTCTCTAACTAACTCTTTCTCTCACTAACTCTTTCTCTCACTAACTCTTTCTTTGACTAACTCTTTCCCTGATGAACTCTTTCTCTCACTAACTCTTTCTTTGACTAACTCTTTCCCTGATGAACTCTTTCTCTAACTAACTCTTTCTCTCACTAACTCTTTCTCTCACTAACTCTTTCTTTGACTAACTCTTTCCCTGATGAACTCTTTCTCTCACTAACTCTTTCTTTGACTAACTCTTTCCCTGATGAACTCTTTCTCTAACTAACTCTTTCTCTCACTAACTCTTTCTCTCACTAACTCTTTCTTTGACTAACTCTTTCCCTGATGAACTCTTTCTCTAACTAACTCTTTCTCTCACTAACTTTTTCTCTCACTAACTCTTTCTCTAACTAACTCTTTCTCTCACTAACTCTTTCTCTCACTAACTCTTTCCCTGACATTCTAAAAGTCCGTAACACGGAAGTTTCTCCCCCTAAACTTCCTTTGATCATTAAGTTATTATACATTATAAAGGTCATAAGTTGTCAATATCTTCAAATCTGCCGAAAAAACATCCTACAACAAAATACGACTCCGTTCCCAGCTGTTCCCGTTCACTCGACCTCCTTGCGTCACACGTGGTGTACAGAAGGAATCCAAGTCGGGTCGTCCGGGTCGTCCGGAAGGGCAGCAGTCGAAGTCATGTCCAGTGGGGGTTCCCAGTGGACCCTGCAAGATCTCAACCTGCCAGAAGCAAAACTCAGAAACAGAACTGTCAGGGCTCTGGTGGGCTCTGGCAGGTGCGGGTGGGCATTTTTCAGTTGACTTTGACAGCATTGCTGGGATCTTTGGGATCTTTGGTGATGATTTTCGCATATTTTCGCCATCTTTGTGCCCAATCCATGTGGATCTTGAGGATCCGTAACTTGCAAATCCATTGGCTCAACTCTGACACAAAAGCCTCATGGTTGTCGATCACACACTTCTGGTCACATTCGTTCCGGCATCCGTAAAAGAAATCTTCTAACTCTCGCAGTTTGGAGCACAAATCCATGGCACCCTTGGCCGAATTCGCGGTTCACATGCATTGAAGCCCAACTGCGAAATGAAGGTGATTCAGCGAGACAGGTGCATTCAAAATTGTCCAATCTAGACAGTTCCGTGCTTCATTGCCATCAACCCACTCATCACACCAGTACCACATGTGCCGTGTAGTATCAAACTTTTGTGGTTCAAATTGGTTCAGTCTGCTCCACATCCCCGAGTTTGAACACGTTCGAATCGTTCGAAGAACAATTTTCTCCATCCGACCTGTCAACATCTTTCAACATCTGTCAACAATTTCACAGGTTGTCTGTTCAATACCGGCACCAAACACACCAAACGTAGCACCGCTTTTCACGGGCGGAGCATATCGCGGCGTCACGGTTTGGACGGTTTGCTGTCACGAACTCGTCGGATTTGGCTTTTTCACCAGATATTCACCCTCACCTTGGGCAATGATGGCGGTAGCAACTCAACAGACTGATTTCAGGGGAAAACTTAAAGGAAGCTATATTAAATTATTAATAACATTTAATAACTAAATATAACTAATATGGTTTTCAACCTCAGATAGAGGGGATTCCTGATAAGTATCGCCGTATCGATACTATCTATGAACCACTTCTTGGACGAAACATATGAATCTGGATCCCACAAACTTGGATACAGTGCTGATGAGTTCCTTGAGATGGCAACATACTGCGATATGATTTCTGCGGACCAAATGGCTGGTGAAGGCTCAAACATATTGAGAGTATTGGGGTAAGGTGAATCCTCAGCAAAAAAATCACCAGTTTTTCTAAGTCGCATGAGTCCTCAAAATTCTGTAGTCTCCTCATTCGACGTCATCTTCTATCGATCTGTGTTCAATTTTTCCCCAAATGGGCAAGCAGGCAGCATCCTCCTCGTGCTTTTTGGGCATCACTATATTGCAGCAAGACTACAACTACAATCACATGAAACCTCACATCTCTTGGGGCAAACATCTGGTAAGTACTAGACAACTGCCTGGTCAAACCCAGTGGTTATCAGTGAGTTGTGGCATTGATTGCCTATGAGTCTATGATAGTCTATGAGTGATCTTTTGGTTGGGACTTAACCCAATATCCTATCAATATCCTATCAATATCCTATCAATATCCTATCAATATCCTATCAATATCCTATCAATATCATCCTATCAATATCATCCTATCAATATCCTATCAATATCCTATCAATATCCTATCAATATCCTATCAATATCCTATCAATATCCTATCAATATCCTATCAATATCCTATCAATATCCTATCAATATCCTATCAATATCATCCTATCAATATCCTCCTATCAATATCCTATCAATATCCTATCAATATCATCCTATCAATATCCTATCAATATCCTATCAAGATCCTATCAATATCCTTTCAATATCCTATCAATATCCTCATATATCTTCCAAGAAAACACAAGAAAAACAGACAACTGGGCCTGGGCCACCCCAACTGCTGGAGAGTGTGACCCAGCCCAGCGCACCATCCAGCTGGGCCCGTGCATGGATGCGCAGCATGCCCTGAAGTCACACTGGGAAGTTTGTCGACTCAGTTGACCCAACATTTTTTTCAACCTGTTACAACTGACGTGCTCACTGAAGCTCAGCTATGTTGGGATGTTTGGAATGACAGCCGCACTGCGTATGATGCGTATGATTCCGTATGATCTATTAAAATCTATTAAAAGGATCTGAGGTGTGACGTCGTCCGGCACGTGGCAGGTCCAGTTTTTTCGACGTCTGTGGATCATCCCTGACATCCCGGGATGGAACTTGTGGATCCACAAATAACCAATCATTTATCCACCAGGTCAATCCACCAATCATTTACCAATCCGCACCTCAGTGGAAGGTTCGCTTCTTGGGCCGGCCTGGACCTGAAAAGCTGGATCTTTTTGGAAATATGGCCGATTCAAAAAAACAACACTGGCTTCGGAAGCTCCTAATTCCAATGCGAGACATGGTTTATTTCTCAAAGGGTCATGTGCGCTCATGTTGATTGTGCTGTCGGAGTATCACTTGACTAAACCCACCAAATACTCAGATACTCTTTTTTCTGCGGTGGAAGTCTTTGTTTTGGAAGCAGAACACTCAAGAAAACCACTTCTCAATCAGCCGCAGCCCAGTTCACCACAGCCAACATCTCAACATCTCAACATCTCAACATCTCAACATCTCAACTTCAACATCCAACATATCCAACATCCTGTGAAGCTCCATCCGAACTCAGCATATCTCAGCATACATGGCATATATCAGCCAATTCCCGTCCCCTTGTCCCGACCCCGAAACGACATTGAAACGACAACGATGTAACGATGTCCTGTGCCTCCAGGATCTCTCCCGGCTGCAGGCTGCGCATGGCGGGACCCAAGGCCAACTGCTCCGTGAGGTCCACGGCCGTTTTCACCTCGTAGCACAGCCGGATGATCCTGGCTGGGCCCATCTGGGCCGTGGCGAAACATGGCGAAACATGGCGATATCACTGCGATATCACTGATATCACGGACATGTGTTGAGAATAAACAAAGAAATGATGCCCTGACATGCTACTGATATAGTGGGAAAGCGAAAATCAATGACAAACACTGATTCATTGTACTGATATCGGATGTCATCAGGGAGACATCATGAAACCGACATGATACTGAGATGATCTGAGATGATACTATGATATTTCCTGAGATTTATTGATGTGATTGGGATTGATTGGAATTGATTGGAATTGATTGGAATTGATTGGAGTTGATTGGAATTGATTGGAATTGATTGGGTGATTTTCGCAAATAGAATAATACTTTTGGATTGGTCTGAGTAGATCCCTGTGCGTCCCGTTTGCTACCGGGATATGATGAGAGCATTATTCGTTGTAAGATGGACGAGTTCATTCTTCGAAATTCACCAGCCTGAAAGAAGGTCATGTTGGGGTGATGTGATTTTTGTCAAGACTTTATCGCCAATTGGTGGATTGTGATTTGGATTGATACCTGACACCATCTGACTATCATCTGACACCATCTGACACCATCTGACACCTACACCACCAAGTTTCAACATGATCAACATGCAACCAATGATACCCTTGTTAAGTTCACCATGGCAATCCCTGCCGCATCTTCTCCTGCCGAACTCCTCTCGCGTGACTTTCACAGGGCCTGATCCATCCTGTTAGCAAATACTGGTACAGCAGGAGATCACAACAAGAAAGGAATTCGTTCATTGTAGATTCATAGCGCTGTAGGTCATCTGCCAGCTGAACATAGCTGAACTGTCTACTCATCCATGATTGCGGGAAGATGTTTTTGAAATCCCTTTGATGGTGATCTTTCAGATGTTCGTCTCTGATTTTAAGTCTGGTCAAAAATCTGTTGAAATCATGTCATGTTGAAATCTCCAAAATATTCAGAAATATTCAGAATATATTCACGTGTTCATCGCATGAGGCCTGAGTGGATTTGCAGGCTGCAAACGCTTTGCTCAACCTGGCACCGAGTCATCACATCTTCAGCCGAAAATGTACACATGGAATCACTGTGTACACATGGGATATGGGCGTCAGTTCTGGGTGTCAGTGCTGTCCCGTCTGCAAAATGGTCCACCATGTGACGGTCTGACGGATTTCACGGGGTCCCAACTTCTCCATCTCCATTTCGCAGTTGTTTTCTTTCAGGAAGACTTGCGCCTGACGCTGGCTCTGGCCACCCCATTTTTTTTCACATCTTTCAACTTCATTCAACTTCATTCAACTTCTGCCCACCGCCTCTACCAGGTCTACCAATTTCATCCAATTTCACTTCCCCAAATGAATGCTGAAAGAACATACCGAACCTTTCCGAACCTTTCCGAACCTTTCCGAACATGCCATTCCCAACATGCCAAACAACCATCGCCTAGCGTCCCAGTCATCGTCCCATTCATCCCCATCCCCTCCGGGTCCCCTCCCATCATTTTTTCCCCTCGGATCCTCTTCCACCGAGGCAACGTCCTCTCCCTTCGCGATGATCTGAAACAGATCCACCGCTTTGCCGCCCAACTGCTCGATGCATTGCCGCAGCTTCACAGCCACTTCCAGCCGAACCTCCTCCACCTGTGGGATTTTACAGTCGATGTCAAGAAATTTCAGCAACAATTAATTAATAATTGTTTAGATAATTTTAGATATAGTTTGCTTTGATGTTTGAAGGCAAGACTACGGGAAATCAACGGTTTGCACCACCAACAGTCACAGTTTCCTGCACCTTTCCCTTGAAGTAAAGTATGTGTGTTCCTTCTCAAGTAACTGGGATTTTGACGCCATCTTCTTCCTTTTGCAATTGAATCTATACGCATATCCGGATATCCTCAACTCTCACTAAACTTCCGTCACCGCTGTGTCCGGTCACCCCATGTCGCCCATGCCGCAGCCCATGCCTTGTGTGCCAATATCCTGGCTGTGACCTTTCGACCCTCCACGGCTCTGCGCTCAGAAAGCACCAAGCGCGCTTCCAGTTTCGCTAAGCGCTGGGACAAACTGCGAAGGCTTTCCTTCAGACCTTTCAGAGCATCTTTCTCAACATCTTTCGCATCTTTCTCGTCTTTCTCGTCTTTCTCTTTTTGGCCATCTTTCTGATCTTCGGATTCGTTCGGATTTTGATCTTTTTCGTCCTTCATAGGCTCATCTTTACCTTTGGCACACTTCGGCACTGACGGAAGGCCACCAAACCGATGTGCAATGTGTAAGAAGGCTTCAGAAAACCGCAATGACAGGAGAGTGTTCTGTCCTCTCAGGTTTACTTCTGCCCCCTTCTCCAAAAAGCCAGCCAGTACGATTCGATTGGCAGATCCCAAAATGGATGATTTTCATTTTTCATCATTTTTCCATATTTTCCCAATGAATCTCCAAGAAACCTCTCAGTCTTTAACAAATCCAAGAGTTTCACCTCTGTCAACTCGAATGCCTCCAACTAGCCCGATCCCTGTCATTACATTGGCTCTAGAAACCAACAAAATGAAGCTCAATAGTAAATCATATCCAATCTTCCCATTGATTAGTGGGTGACTTTCAAAGATACCTTATTAATGTTTATTGGGTTTACCACATTGCTGGCGCATGATGGCTGATTGGTGGCTGTGTCTGTTGTCCGAGAAGTCTTCCAATGCTTTGGGTCACTGGATTCCAAGCTTTCATCATCTTTCATCCCATCAAGGGTCATTTGTTTGGGTTTACCAGATCATCATCCAACAATCCATCTTGATCTATCCGATCTATCCTGCCCCCATCCCAAGTGTTCATCCCAAATCAAAATTGCCAACCATGGGGAATTCAGAATCCCCAACATTGAAAATCACTTCATCATGCAAGTGACCTTCTTTGACCTCTTTAGCATCCTGCTTGACCTCCTTGACTTCAGTCTTCATAGACAGCTGCAGCGCTCCATGGTGCAGGGCCCTCAGCTGATTCACGTAGCCCGGCAGCGCCGTGCGCGTCTCCTGCAGCGCAGAGTCGTAGACGGCTTCGATCTTCTGCAGCTCCTCTTGGTTCACGGGCTCAGCGGCAGCTTTCACAAAATTGGCCTCAGCATGTCGAGGGAAAACAAAATGCAGATTGGATGAGGACATCTTCATGTTTATCAGTTTATCCCACAAGTTTTGACTTCAAAAAGTCTTTGGCGATTTAGTATGAAATGTCGGGAGACAAACCACAGATGTTCTGGGGCACTGGGGAGCAATCCAAGTAAGTGTCTGCTAGGATGGAACATGGACATGGACATGGATTTGAATGAATCAGGAAAAATTGGATAGAAATCAGAGTGTATCGTGTATAGTGAAAATCATTATATAGTGCACACAATGCATTTTGTGATCCAATGTGACCGGGTGGCAGAGGTGGATTCAACATCAGCAATCTTCTTCTCCAGATCCGTCCAGGCAATTTGTTCCATCTCCTTCTCCATCTGTTGCTGCCGTTGTTTCAAATGATTTTGGAATTCCAACTTCAACTTCTCATCCTCAGCTGCAGCTGCAGCTGCTGCAGCTGTATCTCCAGCTGTATCTCCAGCCATTTTCGCCTCCTTGGCCTTTTTGGCTCGCGCCTCAAAGCGTGCAATGCCCACAGCTGTTCGCAGCTGGTGAAACCGTTTGGGCTCCACAGCTGCGGTACCGGCGCCAGGGGCTGGGGTGGTGGCTAAGTGCTGCAGGATGCGATCTAAGTTGCCTTGGGGAAGGGCAAAGCCATACTCCAAGCGACAGAAGCTGACGACTTCGGTGGAAGATAACATGCCATCCTCATCCTGGTCGTATCTCCTGAAGATGTCACCATTCTTGCGATCGCAGATGGCAGGGGCTGCGGTGTTGCCGATGCGCTCCTTGCTTTCAGAAGCCATCTTCACCGCTTGCGCAGCAGTCATCTGCGCCTGCTGCATCCGCTGTTCACTGCGTTGCACAAAGTGAGTCACCTGGCCATGGGTACACCATGCTGAAACTTTCCAAAACGAACGAACATCTATATATCAACATCCCAAAAAGAAGGACCTTTGGGTGTCCCGTTTGGCATGCATTCTTTATCTCCACGCGCACTTTTTGAAACTTTCAACAGTTTCTTGGCATACATTCGACGTACATCATTCATAACATTTCATAACCAACATTAACCAACCTTTTTCCAATGTTTTTCGTGTTAGCCCGGAGACCTCATGTCGCAACGTCTCCACCTCAAAGAGCTGCATCCAGTGCTGTTCCAAGGACTTCCAGGCGGTTTCGCAGGCCTTTTGCGCCACCTGCCCCAGGCGCGCCGCGGATTTGGCGCTGCGCAGAGCTTCTTCCGCTTTGGGCGGAAAGCTGGCGGCCAAGGACTCGCGCGGAGCACTGTTCACTGTGGAGCCGTTCACCAACTGATACAGATGCTCAGTGACCTCTGCTGTACGGTTTAGGAGTGATATGGAGTGATTCAAGCAATATCAAGCAATTATGACCTGAATTTTGTGGTTCGGTTTTGGGGTAACCGGGTAAGTTGAGTCAGGCTTGGTGCGGATTGAAGACAATCATTGAAAATTCTTCTCTCCATGTTTCTACAACAACTAGGTGATTTGAACCCCGAAACCATCCATCCTTATCTATCACCCAACCGTCCAAATTTGGATGCCTTGAAAAAATCGTCCAATTGCTGTGACAAACGGCCTTCAACCCATCATCCGCATCATCAAAATCATCCATTTCCTACATTCTATAATTTTGGATTCTTGAAAATAGGGTTGTTTACCATCTGTTTTTCCCCATCCATTTCCAGCATCTCTCAACATATCCATCCATGTATCCCATCCATCCCTATCCACAAAAAAAAGCGGATCCCGAACCTGTCGGGCTTTGGTGGCTTCCTCCTCGGCCTTGGCCAGCAGCTGTTCCAGTTCCTGAACCACCTGCCGCGTCTGCTGCTCCTTCACTCGGAGCTCCTCCAGCCGGATGCGCTCGCGCTCCTCCTGAAAGCGATAGCGGCAGCGATATACAAAACTCCGGTGAAAAATGGTGAAAATGCACGGGAGGAGCATTTTCTCGAACTCATATCGACTTGATTTGTTGTATGAGGAATAGAGATATGAGGAATAGAGAAAGAAGTTACAAGGTAGAATCTTGATAGATGGGTTAGTCACCAAGATAATTGACACATTTTAGTACTGAACATATTACACAAGTTTTGGAGTGAGACACTTGAAACAGGGCAAAAGGTTGTGTCAAAATATCATATTATCATTACCCATGTATCCCAATGAGATCCTCTCATCCATGAAAATAATTTGCAGTTCAGTAAGCGACAGTAAGCTGTTTCTGAAAACGGCCGATCCAAGTTCGGTGCTCCTCCTCTTTTCGTCGCCGCTCGCGTTCCTCGCGCTCCACGCGTTCCTGCTCCTCTCGACGGATCCGTTCCTCCTCTTCTTCGCGACGCCTTCGTTCGCGCTCCTCCTCCTCCTTCTGTTTCCGGCGCTTCTCCTGGCAAATTTGGCCATGGCCCCAAACACATATTGATGGCAAACGCAGCATGTTCAAGAATGTGAACACTGTCTATTGGACCCAGAGTTAAAGGAACCAAACTTTGGCCGATCCATGAAGATCATGAAGTCCTCCATAGTTGAAGAGACACTTGTTAACAGCTTTAACCACCCGCCAACTGATTCCAACAGGCAAACTAGTTGATGCGACGCAGCTCCTCTTCTTCACGAATGCGTTCCTCCTCTTCGCGCTTACGACGCCTCTCTTCGCGACGGACCCGTTCCTCTTCTTCTTCCCGCCGTCGGCGTTCACGATCTTCCTCCTCTTTCTGTTTCTTCCGGCGTTTCTCCTCAAGGGTCCGAGGGGTTCAAACTTTGCCCCAGAACAAGGGCGAAACGTGCCACCAACAATCCAAAGACAGTTGAAATCGAAGACAGGACATTTCTGCATCTTCCCAGGGTGCATCTTCCCAGGGATGATTTTTCTTATAGCCTTAAAATGTTACTTTTCTGGTCAGAGTTCCCAAAAAAAGGTGTGCTTTTTCCACTTTTGGCTGGGTTTTCTAATACTATATCTGACTACTGCAGGTTTTGGCCGAAAATACGCTGTGATGCTGGTAAACGGATCCCCATGGTTAGTTGTGGTTAGTTCACCTTGCTTGTGGGTTTTGGTGAGTAGTGGTAACTTAGTGGTAGAATGCAAATTTGGCATGGCGATGTTCGCCAAAACGGTGTGTTTTCAGATACCCAATTTAGATTAATTTGGGAGATGCCTCGCAGAACATCATAGCATATCGTTTTTCTCGCAGTCATCCTTAAGACCTTTTCTAAACCCAGACCTTTTTTTCTACCACGAACTTTTTCTTGAACCACGGACACAGATCAAATGATCTTTCGACCCCGATTAATTTACAACGCACATGCATCCAGAAACAGCTGGCAAAAGCCTTGCAGAAATTTAATGTTAGAGAAATCAAACTTTGGAGGAACCAAACTTTGGCCGATCCATGAAGATCATGAAGTCCTCCATAGTTGAAGAGACACTTGTTAACAGCTTTAACCACCCGCCAACTGATTCCAACAGGCAAACTAGTTGATGCGACGCAGCTCCTCTTCTTCACGAATGCGTTCCTCCTCTTCGCGCTTACGACGCCTCTCTTCGCGACGGACCCGTTCCTCTTCTTCTTCCCGCCGTCGGCGTTCACGATCTTCCTCCTCTTTCTGTTTCTTCCGGCGTTTCTCCTCAAGGGTCCGAGGGGTTCAAACTTTGCCCCAGAACAAGGGCGAAACGTGCCACCAACAATCCAAAGACGGTTGAAATCGAAGACAGGACATTTACCAACCCATACCAACCCATACCAACCCCTGCAAAATTTGCACAACGTTTGAGAGTTGTGGAGTTAATGTTGGAGACACCAAATACTTGGGTGATCAATGAAGTTCCAATTTTTGTAGATGTCCATAGTTGAAGAGCCCCCTTAGGTCGCCGACAGTGGCCAAGTGATTCCGACGGGCATGCAACATCATGCAACCAGTTGCTGTGACCCAGTTCCTCTTCTTCACGCAGGCGTTCCTCTTCTTCACGCTTGCGGCGCCTCTCTTCACGCTCAGCACGTTCTTTCTCTTCCTCTTTTCTGCGTTCTTCTTCTTTTCTGCGCTCTTCTTCTCTTCGCAATTTCTCTTCCTCGTCTCTCTTTCGTCTCTCATCTTCTTCTCTCTTCCGTCGTCTCTCATCTTCTTCCCTTCGACGATCTTCCTCCTCTCTTTCTCTCTGCAATCGTTCCTCCTCCTTTCTTTTCTTTTCCTCCTTCTCCTTCTTCTTCTGCTCTTTATTTCTCTGTTTCTTCTTTTTCTTCTCCTCAACTTCCAGAGCTTTCTGCTCCTGTTCCTCCCAGGGGACATGCATCGCATTTGCATCGCATTTTTCACTCAGCTAACATCCGGAGATTTGGCAGAACTTCTTTTTGATGACACATCAACCTTTTCTCAGCGCAATGATTCAATCAGTTACAATCAGTTGCTATCACACCATTCCCATTCCCATCTCAACTCGCCGGCAATACCTGGCACCTGGCATGACCTGGCACCCGGCCTTCTTCAACCTCAACTGACTCAACTCCTCCGCCTTCCTCTTCCGTTCCAACTCCCGCTGCTTAATCTGCTGCATCAAGCGCCGATCTTCAGCTTCCTGCAGAGCCAGCTCCTTCTCTTCGGGACTCAAACCCGTCAGATCGGGCAAGGGCTCCACCTCCTTGACCTCACACCGGAAAACATTTGGAAAAATGCCCGTATTTGGAGAATGTCAGCATTAAGGAAAATGGAAATGGAAATGATTGAAATGAATTGAAATGAATTGAAATGATACCATCCATTTCATGGGGTGGATCCCAGCAACCTCAAGAGACTTTTGATACGACAAACAATGAGGAGTTGTAATCATTGAACCACCAAAACCTGGATAGACCACTGGCAAGAAGGACAGAGCTCCTGCTGTCCAAGTGCGAACAGATGCGAACGGATGCGAACGGATGCGAACAGATGCGAACAGATGCGAACAGATGCGAACAGATGCGAAGAGCAACAATGTCAAATGAGTCAAATCACAGCTGACCGTGACCAGATGCCAGCTGTGGGGCGTGCAAGACTCGCTATTTGAGTGAGGTTATTTGTCGGACCATGCCGGACCTTTAGTAATCAAAGGTGGCAATGGATACTCCCCATTTGCAGATGCATTATGATATGGGAAAATGTGGATTTTCCATGCCCTATTTCTTGAGGAATCCGGAAGCAAGCAGCACCTCTTCTTTGGGCTTTGGCACTTCCTCGTCTTCTTCCTCCTAGCGAGATCTCAGTACCAGCTGGTGAAATGTATTCAAAAAAATCAAAATTAGTAATTAGTGGAGAAAAAGAACTTGAGCATCCCAAAAAATGACCAGCCAATCTCGTGGCCCTTCTTTTTCGAACCTGGATAACACTTGGAAATGTGCTGAAATGTGCTAAAAAGTCTGGATGTTGAACCTCCTCTTCTTCCTCTTCTTCATCTTCGTCATCATCGTCGTCCTTCTCAGCAGCCTTTTTCGTCAGTTCCGGCGCAGCTGTAACAGAAAAACTTTTGTCAATGGGCCCATCGTGAGGCACGTTCCATTCAGCTGGAGGCGGCGTTGTAGCCTCCAGCGGAGGCGAAACCCGTGGCAGTCCGTGGCTTTTTGAATCAAAAAAGGTCACAGCACCCTGAGCCCTTACATCACGTTCATGATATGTTGCATGATATGTTGCATGATATGTTGCATATTGCTACTCTTCTCCCAGGATAGGAACGGACTCCACTCTTCCCACGGTGCCTTTCGACTGGGGTGGAACGCCCACACCATCTCTCCCCCAACTGAAGGACTAAACCACCAGCCGCAATTCTCTTCACCATCACGGTCATCCCAGTAGTAGATCAGGACATCCAAATCATCGTCATCTGAAACCTCTTCCAATTTCTTCTTGTAGACCGGTTTGCCGTGATTGCTGCCATGTCGGAAGTAGGTGCCTTTCACAATGTCCGAAATGGTGGGGTTTTGACATCCACTCACGATCAGGGGCACAAGTGATGCCGTGACAGCCGGAGCCACCAGAGCCGGAGGTGTCACTTTCGGAGGCACGTCTTCCACCTCCGAACTGTCGGATTCTTTGGCTTTGCCTTTGCCTCCGAACGGTGAACCACGGTGAACCACGGAGAACCACGGTGAAACACGGTGAAACACGGTGAGATGAATCTGAAATCATGAAATCATCTGAACGGTCATGACAGGTGTGTAGCATTGTGTAGCACATGACAGCTCATGACAGGACGACAGCTAAAACGGAACATGCTGAAACATGCTGAAACATGCTGAAACATGCTGAAACCCAGCCCACAGTGGTGTTGCAAGACTTAAACCTGGCAGGTTTCAGCGGAATGGTGCCACCAATGAAGAAACATCAAGGTAAAGACAACTGCACAGGGTAAACATCCCAGACGACGCAACTGCCAAAAGTTTGGCCTTTGGATGAGGAAGAGTCACTGCGCTCATCGCTCCGCGCTTTCTTCCTTCGTTTCTCCTCTTTTTCTCCGCGCTTCTTTTCCGCCTGATGGAAGATGCCAGAAGTGGATAGATCTCAAGAGATGTGCTGACAAGAAATGCTAAATCGACCCAAAAATAAAGTGATTGTGATGTGAGCTGTGCTTGCTTTGCCAGAAAAATCACCGCCAACTGTTGATGGGTGATGAATCACATCCAAGGCGTCCATGGACAGTTGATATCCAAAGCTGCCTCAGTTTTCACAACTATTGATGCTGTAAAGAATGCTTTGCTACTGACATCAGCTGTGAGTAGCTACAACTTTCATCAGCCAAGCTGCAGTTCGAGCTGCAAGTCGTATAGATTCCGGCACAGTGATTAACAGAAAACTCAGAAAACTCAGAAAACCACAAAAGCAAATGCAACAAATGTGAAGTGAACCTGAAATCTGACCTGTAGCAAATGTGAACCAAAATCAACTCCGATACATGTTAATTACCGTATGAACCAAGATTGAGATCCTACGTGACACTCACCGTGATACGAACTCATAGCACCAAAAACACCATGGCCGCAATGGCCGCCATGGCCGCCATGGCCGCCTTCTTCTTCTCCTTCTTCTCCCGCCGTCGGCTGCGACTCACCGAGCTCTTTCGCTTCTTGTCCTGCCGAGCAGACAAAACATCGAAAACATGATATGTTTGGATTTCTGATGATTTCTGGAAAAGCCATGAAAAGCCATGAAATCTGTTGCCATGGTCCCCCGAAAGCGATTGCTTTGCCAAGAATCAACTTTTCGAAGCATTGCCATTGCAGCCCACGCGGGCCTTCTTCCCCATGGGAACTATGGAAGCTGAGCCACGTCCTCTATTCTGGGCCTTGCACCATCGGAAGCTGAGTCGTTTCGGCTGTGTCACGTTATCTATTGGTCTTGTGAAGGGCCATGAAAATCCATGAGACATGCCAGACATGCCAGACATGTCTTGGAAAGTCTGAAGGTTGTTTGGAGGTCACATGTTCACTGCCGTTTCAGTAGCGTTTCATCGTGTCGTTTTGGCTCCACACTAAGTGCATAACACCCAGTGGCCTGTATAAGCCTGTGGCATATGTGGCACAAGCACAGCAACAGGCAATCCCCAGGGTCCAACTGGCGCCGTATTCAGGCCCCGGCCTTAAGTGGACGTCTGAAAAAGCATTCCTACTACCCAACTAAGAACCAGAAGCTGCGGGATGTGCTTTCGGTCACTCCAAAATCATGTCATGAGAATGTCGTGATAGCACCAGATAGCACCAGATAGCACCAGATAGCAAGATACAAAGATGTCAAGCTCCAACTCACTTCACACATCTTCACACCATGCCTGGGCAAGACAGAATGCACTGGATAAGAGACATCAAGAATCATCAAGAGACATCATTCTGTGAAGATTCTGCGACGCAACAACGCAATTGTTGTTATCTGTTCTGACTGTTATGATATCACGGATATCACGTGACGGAACACATGTTTGCCGAGTCTGCCGAGAGCATGGCCATGCTGTGAAGAACTTTTTTTGGGACCCGACTCGACGCTCATCTGAAAACAATAAAGGCGAGTTTGGCGACTCTGCCGTTCCTTCCGTTCCTTCCGTTCCTTCCATTCCTTCCGTTCCTTCTGGCGATCTCAAAAACTCTCTCCTAAACAGTCCAGACATGTCCAGACGGTGAGTTTTCAATAGTTTTATCATGATTTATCCGAAGCCATGGAGACTGGTTCTTGAGACTGGTTCTTGAAAGGATTGCGGTATCTTGCGGTCCTCACTTCTAAGCCTTTTCCCACCTGAAGCACAGGGTGGGAAAGACAAATACGTTGAGTTGATTGTGACAGCCGTCACAATAGGATCAATCCATCAATCCATGGTGCAGCCAGTAGCCAGCAGTAGCCTTCATATTCAAGTAGCTGTCAACAGTTGTTGATAGCCGATGTCCTCCAGTTGACTCTGATTCAAGGGATCAACAACCAGCTGTCACGTCCTACAGGATGGCATCCGATCTGAGCGACATGAAGAAACCAGAGACAGCTGTGAATGCCTTAGCCGAGGAGTTCCCAAAGGTTGCACTTATAAAACACACCCGACAAAGGGCATGGATTCAGGTCATCAGCAGAATGAATCACCATGGCAAATGGAAAATTCAGCTCATGCCTATCGTTGCATATCCGAACCAGCAGCGAATTCGTGTCATTCTTCTCTGAACCAAAAGCGGCAGCAAATGTTCAGACGCCAAACCAGCTTATCCTGCAGAAACATTGACAGACCAGCCAATGTCACATGAGAAGTCTGCATCAGTCTCAGTTCATGGAAGGTCAATCTTACAGCTTGAAGATCTTGAAGATGCCCATTGAAGCACCACTTTGAAGTTTGAAGCAACATGATTGACGCATGCGCTGTCATCATTTACATATTCATTTACCATGACTGGCATTGTAACCTACATCCGCAATCCGACAGCAGCGACCGCGGGGGGTTTTATTTCGACTGCTCCTTGGGAGTGCCACTGGACTCCTTTGGAGTTCGGCTCATTTCTTATCAGCTCTCCTTCGATCAAGGTTGACAAATGTTGACAAGTAGGAGATGAGGATTGAGATTTTATGGATTGGGGATTGGGTATATTCCACCAAAAATTGTTCCACGTCAGGACTCACTTGTTGAGTCCTTTTCTGTGGCAGTTCGGCCAGGTATGGCCAGGTATGGCCAGGTATGGCCACGTATGGCCAGGTGTTCACAGAAAACCTCAGGACGTCCAGTTTTCAGCCCGTTTTCAGCCCGTTTCGTCCTCTTCACTTGTGCTTCCTCCGTGCGCGCCTCAGGGCGTCGGGAGCTTCGTTGGACAGAGTGAACCACCCGAAAATTCGAAGGAACATCAAGATTCATCAAGGAACAAGACACATCCGCCTTGGTACTCAATGGATCTACTCCGAAAATGTCCCTTCAACCATCTTCAACACAAAATCCCATCATCTTTGTACATCCGATCTATACAGTCTAGTCAGTCTATAGATCTACAGTCTATAACCTACCCTTCATTTGTCGATCTACACCATGGTTCCATCTGGTTCCATCTGGTTCCCACCATTTGCTGAAAATTTCTGCATCCCCGCCTTCAACACCATGTGTCGGGCTTCCTCCATGTGTCGGTGATCCTTGGGAACTCCAAACAGCTCTGAGGCGTCCGTGATCACCTGATCGATCTGATTCGCCACCTTCCCTGCCTGGCACGTGCCGCGGCGCATGGCGAAGCTGTGGCGCAGCTATGAATTTGGTGACGGAAATTGACGGCAGATAAGTTAATAATGAAGTTAGAAGATGTTAGAAGCTTAAGATGGTTGAACTTCTTAAGAACTGATTGAGGTGCTGAACGGTTCATGGCCGGTTGGATGTTTGGATGTATAGAGATGTTTGGATGTTTGGATGTTTGGTAGTAAATCTAGTGGATCTTCTTTGGAGAAACCTTCGAGAAACCTTCGGTTCTTTTCGTCCTTCACATGCTCAAGATCTTCAAGATCTTCAAGCAAAGTTAGTAAAGTTACGTAGTTATCAATAGTGATTATATGGATCAACATGTCAGCAAGACGGATCCAACGACGCCCGGCTCAATGGTTGACATCAAATGCTGACAGTACCTCACAGCAAGATACGACAACATGCCAATGGTTCACTTAGCATGTTCCTCCATGTTTTTGTTGTCTGAGTCAAGAGTTTGGGTAGCAAAACTGCAGTGTCCTCTTCCTCCACCAAGAATGTAACGCGACCGATTTAGATCCAGTATCTCAGTATCTCTCAGTATCTCTCAGTATCGGGAGAAATCCGGTTGTTTGGCCTCATGGCACGGAAGGCGCGAAGATCATATGTGATCCTCAGTAGGCTCAAGAGTGGAACATGGATTCGTTCTCCGAATTGGAAGAGCTGAACAGAAAAAAACCTGGCTGATTCAGTATTATACTCACTATTCTGTCGATGCATCTGTAAAATTGTGATCTGAATGTATGCACTATACCTGGTATACCTTACACTCCAATCCCCTTAAGCAGTCTCAAGCAGTCTCAAGCAGCGCTCAAAATCTGCAGAGTCTCTGCAGGGCCTTCAACAGATCTGGATGCCTGAGAGGATTCGGGACATTCTGAGACTGCGAATCAAACAGACATCGTTGACATCGTTGACATCAAACAGATTTAAACCGTCTATGACACAATGAAGTCTGTGAAGTCTGTGAAGTCTGTGAAGTCTATGAAGTCTATGTCATACTATTTCGTGGACACATGGGTGTGTCTCCAAGATGACAAGTTTCTCAAATCACAAGAAGAACTTACAAATTGACCAACAAATAACTAGAAATTTCTAGATATAACAAATGTTCATAGAACACGAAGCGCACCTTTGGGATGGACCGTCCGAGAATCAGAGGCTCAACACTTTTCACCGTTCGCCGCCCAATGAACCAGATGCACGCATCGGGGTCTAAAAAAACGGACAATATTGTAGTTGTGAGACAATGAAGTGCTGCTTTGCAAGGGAAACAGCCCAAGGAGCTAAGATCGGAGTATCGGAGTATCCTACAGTAATCACTTCCCAAGCGACACGACTCACCTGTCTCAAGATGTCTCAAGGTCCTTGCAGTGACGGTGCTCATTGTGATCATCTCAAAGAGTCACCACCACAGTCACATCGGAGACATCGGAGACATCGGAGCCTGGAGAGTCACATAGATCTTGACCGCTTCGACTGCTTCGACTGCTTCGACTGTTTTGACTGTTTCGACTGGTTCGATTTTTGCTTGCTCTTCTTTTCCTGGCAACATCTTCAGCCAAGTTCAATGGAGACTGCTGAATTCCCTTCAGGAATTTGTTCAGCTTGTTCATATGCTTGTAGTGTAGTTGGCGATCGGGTGGCAGCTTACCACCAGGAAATCCTGGCGGTACCTCTCTGACTTGCCAGGAATCCTCAGGATATGCTCTTTCGCTCTTGGGGCTCTCTACTTGCGTTTGCGCAGCCATGAAATCAATGCCATGTTGACTTGCGTTTCGCTGACTCTGGATCCCCTGGGTCTTGATGTTCATCTTAAATGCAGGCATAGGTTGCATAGTTTTTGGTGGTGCGCTTGATGCACACCCCATTGCGGAAAATGGCCTCGCCCGCTTCTACAATACACGTGCACTTGCAGCTACCTCATCTTGATCCAAGTCTCACACATATGGCATGCTCACATCTTTAACTTGAGTTGCACTCGCAACGGAACTCACAGTTTTAAAAAAAACGATTGGGGGGCAAAACAGCTTTTGACCAATAGTTTCAATTGTTTTCGGGATCAAGATTTCGTCCCAGCCGATCTGCTCTTATTTCCAGTGCTATCCCCATCCCCCTAAGTGGTTTGGTAAATTGTGCACTTTCGACGGTCTGCTGCACACAAACATGGATTTGTGCTCTAACATTCAAATACCGAATCTAGGGATGCATTGAGCATCATTGAACTATGGCAACTTTTTGTGAGGTATCCATGGCAAAGCATGAGGTTTTTTCATTGGGTAACAACATATAACAACATGGATAGCCAATGGATAGCCATGGATTCACCTTACCAAAAGTCCACCCAAAAATCTTGGTGAATCGATAGCAAGGTGCTTCGAATCCACCGCCTGTGCTTGAGCGGCCTGGACAGGTCACAGGGACACAACGGGACACAACGGGGCATTTCGGTGTCATCTTCCGAGACGAAAAAAAAAAAAGGTTCCGAAACATTCCAAAACGTTCCAAAACCATGTTCAGATGTTGAGATTTCTTTGAATTGTAATATTGTTGATTCGAACATTGAATGGTATTGAATTATAGTTGATTCAGTTGATTCAAACATTGATGATCATGTACTTCAAGATATACTCTATATCAAAAGAAACCGATCGCCACTGGGATTTCCCAGGCCTTGATGGCGTATTCGATCCGGGCCGCGCGCTGCAGCGCTTCCTCCCCGAGGTCCGTGTCGTCCGTGTCATCCACCTTCCGCGCCTCAGACCGAACTGGAGCTGTTGAGGTATACGGTACACACATGTACACACAGTATATTGGTAGACAGTGAAATAAACATAAATAAACTAAGTATGTGCTCTGAAATCAACATTATTAAACCACAGTAAACTGTTGATGGTTTATTTCTAGGGGGCTAGTTTACTCATATATCCGCCGACCCCGGCAGACGCAAGGGGGAGCGCGCCAGGGAATAATACTTTTGACTCTTGCAGCAGCAGCAGCAGCAGCACCAGCAGCAGCAGCAGCAGTAGTAGTCGTCCTTCAGAGGCATGGTGTTTTCCCCCTGGGAGGTGATTTTTTCGAAGTTGTTTGACTGCTAGCAGCCGCAGGCAACCGAATCTAGCAGCCGCAGGCAACAGAATCTGTTGAAAAATGTTGTTTTTCTAGGATTTCAGACGACGCGTTAGGGAGTTTTTTGGCGTGGTTTTGGAACTAGCTCGTCCTTCAGAGGCATGGTGTTTCGCCCCCGGGAGGTGATTTTTTCGAAGCTGTTTTACTGAACAGAATCTGTCGAAAAATGTTGTTTTTCTAGGATTTCAGACGACGCATTAGGGAGTTTTTTGGCGTGGTTT